TCGTTAGTATCTATAGTAGTTGGAACATGGCTTCAAACCAATAGTCATGTAGTGAGCTCTGAGAACTTGAGCCATTGTTCACAAGAGGTGGCCTTGTAATCAAATATTCGATGACTAATGTTGGTATGAAGTCAAGGTGGTTTGCTGTAGGCATTAGGAAATGTCTAGGAAGTTGAAAGGATTAAGTGGTCGCTAAGAGACAGGTTTTGCTATTATCAAGGTTGTATGAGAAAAGAAATTGTATATTGAAAGTGTTAGTTCAGATATAATCAATTCTGCTAGATTTGTTATTGTTAGACCAAGTAAAGTGTGTGTTGTTAAAGTGAGCACCAATGTCAAACATGTTAGAGTGGTGTAGGAAGTTAATAAGTTTAAACTTAGAGGAAGAACTAAACTTGGTGTCATGTGTGTTAAAATCTCTCAAGATAATGAGTTGTAAGTTATGTTGTTGAGCTTGTAATATCCAATTGATAACTGTGTTTTGGGTAAGGTTACGTCTGGTAGCGTCAGTTGATGAAAGATAAACAGAAATTATCTGAGGTTTGATGTTGCTTTTAAAGAAGAGGTCTAGGGTGTGTGAGGCAGCTATGAACATGGGGCTTGAGATGATTCTGAATCATAATAGCTGCTCCTTCCATGGAGCTGTCAGAATTGGACCAGTAATATGTATAAAAGTTGTTATTACAAAAAGAGAGTTTGGTTTTGTTTGCAATTTTAGTCTCAGTAATACTAGCAATTGAAATGTCATGATTTGTACAATAATCCTGCCAGGTTTGTCTTTTAGAGGCTACATTGAAGCCTCTGACATTATAAGTAGCAATTGTAAGGTGTAGGTCACGTGAGTCAGGTTGTTTAGGTTGTGTAGATGAATTGTTAGGATTTATGTTAGTTCTAGAAGAGTTGTAAGTATATGATTTGAGGGGAATAAAAGGATTAAGGTAGATAGTACTAATATAAGGTACGATAATGTGATCTGGTAGAGGACAAAAAATAGATATGTGCCTCACTGTGATCAGTTTTGACAGATATAACAATTCGCTCATAGAGTTTGTCCCACAAGCCAATTTTGAGTAGGTGTAAAAAAAAGGAATTGAGTGTTTGAGGAGCTTGGATTGGAGAAGAGTTGATGGATAGAAGAAATCGATTAAAGCAGGTGGATAAATTATAAGGTGTAGAGGGAATTGTATCATAGACCTTATGAATGTCTTTTACATTGTCACTCGCCGTATACTTGGCTCTTACAGATCTGCAAGAATTAGAAGTACTCTGGTTAGATGTTAGAGTACCATCATTATTAGATTCTCTCGGGTATTCAGGGATAGCTGATTATTTTGAGGACCATCCCAACCTGGTTACCCAAGTTTTAACATCTTATCCTCGAATCTTAGACATGTAGAAGACTAGTGTTTGTGTTTGTGTTTCGAACTGTTTTTGGTGAAGTACATATTGCTATATACAGTTAATGATTTAAACTATATAATCCTACTTTATATATCTATCCTAACCCTTATATGGATTTATCTTGTGTTTACACTGACTAAACCAGTTTGTATTTCTTCAATCCTTATTTCAAACTATTTTTCAAGGGGCCCCAACCCTCTATTTTTTATCCTTTTCTGAATTGAACACTATACTCGGGATTTGCAAGTAGTTCTTCCTAATCTGGTTAGTCCGAAGGTCTTGATGTTCATACCACTTCTATATCAGGGTCTACTATAGAGGCTTATCTTGTGTTTGCGCTGACATGCACCAGTTTGTATTCCTTCATCCAGTCTTTCCCAAATGAACACTCATAAAAATTTATAGTGTACTAATTTTTAAAATTATTCATATAAATTAAGTTTACAATATGCACAATATTCACATATTTTTGAGGTAAGATTTTATACACTGGTATTGACAATCTAAAATGGCGAGTTGGTTGCTAATCAAATCAAGGCCTTGTATAACCTATGTTTGGCTTAGTCAAAGAGGCATTTAGATTTGGCAAGTGGGTAATTTTAGATGTAGGTATAGCCTCTACAATTTATATTGGGACTGGTTTATAGATCACTAACACTTGTATTATCGATTTACAATATTTCTAACAAACCACAGATTGAGTTCTTTCACTAAGACCTCAAACCAGAACACAATCTAACCACAGCTTCTACAGACCATTGTGGAAACTGGAAAACAACCACAACTAGTTCTCGGTATGTTGGGATAGTTAGAAAACCATGACAGTTCTTAGTCTATCGAGAATCAACTAGAAAGACAAAGTCACATGAGCAAGTCAAGTATCAAGCAAAGATCTTTCACTATGCCACTTAGTAATTAATCAGGGTAAAATTATTTAGTATTTTATTAGAGTGAGTTTATTTAGGTACTTAGGTTTTTATAGGTCAATTGGGTTCAATTGGGTGATTTTTATTAGGAACAATAGTTGTAAGCAAATGGAACTTATTGTTCTCAGGCCTTTATGGCCTTTATTTATAATATAAGCTTTGGTATAACAAAGGTTTTATATGTTTGATATGTTTGCTATATTTGATATATTGAATATATTTGATATCTTTGATATATTTGATATATTTGATATATTTAATATATTGAATATATTTGATATATTTGATATATTTGATATATACACTATAACACTATAATTCCGGGTTACATTTGAGCTGCAGTAGGTAGATCAAATTCCAGGGCTCACAGTATTTATGTAAATTTTTCCACGTTCAAGTCACTGTTTTTAGATACGACTGTTAAAGCGCACAAACTCAGAATTGAGTTATAAAGAAGATTGAGTTATAAAGAAGATTGAGTTATAAAGAAGATTGAGTTATAAAGAAAATTAAGTTATAAAGAAGATTGAGTTATAAAGAAAATTGAGTTATAAAGAAGATTGAGTTATAAAGAAGATTGAGTTATAAAGAAGATGCGATATATGTAAAATATGCATGTGATATATGCGATATATCCGATATATCGATATATATTTGATATACAGTAAATGAAATAAATTGCACTTTGGCCCCATGATCTTGGGTCGCAGTAGATAGGTCGAATTCTGGAGCACACAATATATTTGTTATTCAATTTAATTTTATAAGTAATCTGTGTGAACAGATTTCTTAACATATTTAGTTAGTGCAGTTCTAAATAATAACAATAAAAAAAGATATTTTTTATAGTGATCATCATGCACTTAAATTGAGACAAAAACTTGTTAAATCTATGTGCAGTTAAACAATTCACCATATACTTTGTGATATTAATATTGCATATCATTCCATTCCTAGTATTTATATTGCACTAATACTAATTTAGTTTATAACATAACCTCATTCGAAAAGCCCTAGTTATACAAAAACACAAGGTCATATACATCATTGCACACTATTTCTGATATATAGCAGAGGCATACAAATAGAGATATAATCATGTGAACAGGTTGTCCAATCGGAATCAAAATTGACACTTTACTTAACTTGCCTGTAAACTATATACTTCATACTTTGTACTCCGTTTCTGGTACATGCAAGTAATATATGTATAGAATATAGACTACTCTGTTAGTTTACTTTATAAATAGACTAGTATAAGTTAGTAAGTTTTAAAAAAGAATGCAAAATCTAATAAAGATAGATAGCAAAATCTACAGTTATATGGTAAGCAATAACTAGGATAAAATTGTAATAACTTATCTGATAGTATAACTTAAGCTATACAAAGTTAATTTTTTGGTTCTTATAACATGGGACAAAAAAAATGACCTGCTTGCCTAGACTTTTATTTAAAAATTTTATATATAAAAAATTTTAAATTTTATAAAATTTTTTAAAAATTTTTTTTGAAATCCTACCTGTTTATTAAAACATATAAAAAATTTTTTTTAAAAAAATTTCAAAATATAACCCAGCCAGGTTATGAGAACTAAAAAATTAAGTTTATATGATCTTACATTGTAAATTATACTATAAGTTACAAAATATATTATAGTAAAGCAGGCCAGCTTTGTATTAACACTGACTAGAATAAATTTAGCTAGTATTAAGGTTATTAAAGGATAAAATTTTTATTATTATAACTTATCTTATATAGTAACTTATATTTTAAAATAACTTATAGTAAGCTATACAACCCTAATTCAGAGGTTAGTTGTTTGTAGCAGTAGTTGTAACTAGTAGGTTTAAATAGGGCCCTGCATAGCAAAACAGTGTAATGGGACAATCACATGATCATAAGAAAATTTCGATTTAATTTTGGTTATATAATTTACACTAAATTTTTCAAAAAACGGCATTTATAATTTAAAAAATTTTTCTAACAAGCAATTTTTTTTTAAATATAATTTTTTTATATATTTATATTATTTATAACATGCAAAAACCTAAAACTTCAAGCTTTTATTTAATATTTGGTCTTTATATTTTATATACCGTTCATGATCATTAATGCTTATTGTTATAATTATTATCCTGTTTCTCTTCAGCATTTCTAAGATTTTGCCTTATTATATTCCATGTTAATTATTTTATTTAATAGATACATTATATTTTTTTATAAAAAAATCTTAAAATTAGGTATTTATAATTTGTTTTAAACTAAATTCAGCAGTTGCCGGGTGCAGTATTATTAAACACAGTGCTTTACACTTATAATTAAATTCATCATGTTTAATGGCATTTTGACTAATATGTGTAAAACTCTAATACTAAGCTTGACATAAACTGTGTATATATAAAGCATATAAAGTATAAACTAAGTTGCTTTTGTTAGTTTTAGTATTAGTATCGGTCTTGATTTACACAACCAATAAAAATAGATTTTTAATTTATTTATTCTAAATGTTCTGGTTTGGGGCAAGTAATTTTAAAAAAAAGCAAGTTTACATAAAGTGCAATTTCTTTATGTAGTTCTTCTTGCCTCTTTAAAGAAAGTGGCCTGATATTAATCGTTGGGGGTAAGATATTTGCATTAAAAAAAAAGGACAGAAAGTAAAATTTTTGTATTCATTATTCAAGATCGTCTTTGTAAAAAACAACTCCAGGATTTTGTGAAGTGAAATAAAAGTGATAATATTTTTGAATATTTAGTAGCTTTTTAAATGCTTCAAAATAAATTTTAAAATTATAATATTGAAATCCTTCTCTATCTAAGAAATATTGAGCAAAATTAAAGTTAATTGAAGTAGAACGATTAATAGTTGAGACTACATCGTTGACAGTATTTACTTTACTTTTTTAATAAAGAACCTTAATTAAACCAAAGCAACTATCGCAGATAAATTTTGTATATCCAGGTATCATAAAATTTAGTTCAACTTCATCATACATATTACGATCAATTAACCAAGAATAAAAAAATAATAAATAATTATTCTTATTTTGTTCTGTGCAATTATTGCACGTAATGATTAATTTGCTTTCTTGACAATTATATTTTTTACTTGCATTTCAAACTAAGCTTAGAGTACTATTTATACCTTTGCCTTACTTACCATTATTGGGCATTTCAGCATCATCAATTATGTAGTTAGTCTGTTGTGTATGCAAAAAGTTACCAATATTATATACTCCAAATAGATATACTTTATAAGGACTTTTAAAAACAAAGAGCCTATTTGCTGTAGTGAGTATGGTATTTGTACGTTCTGGGCCCAATCATATGTGATATGCATAGTTGCGTTAAAGGTTTTAAAAGATTCTTGAAAACTAATTATGTTTTGATTATATTTGCTATCATCAACTGCATTCTTAATATTAATATTGTAATAATCATGTTCTTTTTGTGCATGACTTAAGTGGGCTAAATAATTATTGGTAAACTCTAATTTCTTTTTATACTGTGTAGCATATTGAATTTTCATTTTTATTGTTTTACAAGTTTTGCACAAATCTGACTTTGGTGATATAAATTGAAGTGATAGCATAAAATTTTCCAAATATTAACAAAAGTTCTTTCACACATAACATGAACATCTTCTTTGTACTTATCCTTGTAAGCTTCAACATACTTAAGTATACTGATGCGTAACTAAAGTTGGTTGAAAGAAACATGATTGGTTAAGTTGAAATGTCGTCCAGGTGAAGGCATGCCATGTATGTTAGAATAATTTTTTAAAAATCTAAATACATTACATGCTACTTCATAATTTACTTCGATATGCTTCATATTTTTTGGAGCTCTTCCAGTATTACTATATGTATACTTCTCAAGGCCATGCTCTTGTAAATGCCATTTTAAATTTTCTAAATATGTATGACCAATTCTAGTAAGAGCTAAATATGTATTGTGACAAACTGGAACATTATTGTTATAGCAATTAATTAAAAACCAAATATTTTCTATTCTTATTAGCAACTTTTCTTGTATCTTCATTTTTTTGAAAAGCTATAAGTTGCTCCTTTATAATCATATTACGAGAATTTTTATCTAAACTTTCAAATTCTGCCTGATATGCAAGAAAATTTTCATAGCCAATTTTTTTAAAACAAGTTTGCTTAGAATGACATGAACACTTATCTTTTTCAAAAAACTGTTAAACTTTTAATTTTAATTCCTCATAAATTTTATCTTCAATGTAGTTATTAGGTATATCTATAAATTCAAATTCATTTAATTTACTTAATGAAATGTCATCATCAATGTCAGATGGCAGTTCAATATCTGATAAAGAGTCTGACTCTTCATTGTTTTTAGAATCTAAATATTCTACAAAAAAAGTATTGTCTAAATCTTCTAAGGCAGCAATAATAATTTCATTCATACTACTATCATTTGAATATACGTTATATTCTATACTCCTTGATATTTTTGCTAAAAGGATAAAATGTAAAAAATTTCTTTAGCATTTATATTTTTTGTATCCATATCATATGTACATATAATACAAATGTATATACCTGCATGTCGATTAACTAATTTGCTTTGCAACTTCAGAACTTAGAGATACGAATAAGTAATATTGCAGATCATGTTAATTCGTATAATTGTTCTCTGTTATTGTTATATATGTATGTACTATATGTATGTACAGTACGTATATACGTATATAGTAATTGATTTTCTTTTAAATTTTACTATAATGCAACAAAGAAAAAATCACAGATTTGGTCACTATTTTATTAACATATTCAATAAAAAAAATATATTTTTAAAAAGACTAGACCTATAAGCAAATCATTAACCTAAAATCTCAAAATCTGATTGGTTGGCCTATTGCACTGTTTTGCTGTGCAAGGCCCCAAATAGAGAACTCTTATAGTTGAGTGCAGGTATAGCAAATATATAAAACCCCTTGCATTGCACTAACACTTTAGACAGACTGCTTAAATTAGATACCAAAAGTGCATGTGTAGTTTAATATATTCTCATTGTAATTATAATATCTGATTTAATTAATAAAAAGTTACTAGGCCAAAAAGATTATCTTAATACAAAAAAAAAAAGTAATAAATATATGTGTTGCATTCTGCGATATGCTAATTCATCGTATATATATATTAAATTATAATTTGTAGATCTGTATAACACATTTATACATATACAAAAATTAATACTTAATTAAAGTTAGTTAGAGTTAGAGTTAGAGGTTAGAGATTAGCGGTTAGTGTAGAGCCTTTATATACCAAAGTTTTACAAAAAAGTTTTTTGTTAGAGCTCAAAAGGTAGTTTTACAGACAAAATTTTGAAATATAACAAATTTTTAAAAATTTTCTTTATTTTTGTTATACAAAATTAATTTACACATTACATTTAATCTTTAAATTTAATTGGCTATTTTTCAAAATGTGATGTATAAGCATGTTGCTGAGTGTGATGCCTAATTAACTTCTTTGTTTAAAACTATTTTTATTTATTAAATTTAAATAATTTTTATTTTTAATAATTATTTATTTTAATAGGCAATTTGCCAATCATCTGGATAAAAATTTTTTTTATATATAAATTTTACTATAAGTGCAAATGCATAGTGCTTCTATCTAAAACTTTTTTTATACTAAGTAAATCACTCTTCGGCTTCTAACAAAGTTGTAGAGCTCATCAAAATGTATTTAACACTGTAAAAATATTAAAATTAGTCTGGTAGTTCTTGAGAAATCTTTAAAAAACTTCTTCTTTATATATAAAATTTCTTTAAAAAAAATTAATTTTTTTTAAAGAAATTTTATGTGAAAAAGAAGTTTTTTAAAGATTTCTCAAGAACTACCAACCCAATTTTAATATCTTTACAGTATTAAATACATTTTGGTAAGCTTTACAACTTTTGTTAGAAGCCGAAGAGTGATTTACTTAGTATAAAAAAAGTTTTAAATAGAAACGCTGTGTATTCACACTTTAGTAAAATTTATATATAAAAAAAATTTTTATTTAGATGACTGGCAAATTGCCTATTAAATAGATAAAAGTCTTTTAACAATAGGTTTAATATTTAAATTGGTTAGTTTTTATAGTATTTTTAAGTTTGTTATCTATAAATTAATAGCTAGTTTTAATTTATATTTTATATAGTAGATTCTTTAATAAGTTTATACTTTATATATATTTATCTATTTTTTATATAAATAATAAATTCTTTTATATATATTTATTTTTATTTTTAAATTTTTTTATTATTAATATTAATGTTATATATAGAAAAGCAAATAACTTTTACAAAGTATTATATAAATACCGAATAGTTAAACAGATAGATTTTCTATAAGCATTAAATTTGAAGTAACATTATACTTTTAAGTTTTTTTTATAAAGCTAATTTAAGTTAACAAACTACTATTAGCTAAAGAAAAACTGGAAAAACCTTACCTATTAAAATAATTTTATAAATAGTTTTCTGTTATTTAGTTTGTTATTTTAGTTTTTAGTTGTTTTTTTTTTGGATTAATAAATATATTTGGATAATACATAGTGAATTGTTGGAAGAAAGAGATTTAGACAAATTATATATTCTTGGTATTTTTGTATATACCCAATATATTTTTATAATTTAATGTGGATATAGATTCTAATATCTCTTTTTCTTAATATAATAGATAAATTTTATAAGCTTGAATAATTAGTAAGGCTTTGTATAAGAGATAAAAATTACTTTCTTTTTTAATTAGATGTATTTTTGATAGACCAAAAATATTACTATTATTTTTTATAATATAGTTATATATAAATAATTGTTTAGAGTTAGTTAAGATTAAATATACAAATTTTGATAGTTTGAAAAGTTGGTGTATTATTGTTGTTAGAGGTAAGAGTATTTGATTATTTGATAGAAGAGATATAGTATACTAGAAATTGATATAATGATATAACTATATAGTTTATAAGAAGTTAGCCATTAATATCTAAATAAATATATGTTTTAAGTATATATATATTGAGAAATATTTTATAAAGTTTGTAAAAAGATTGTTTTAGAAGGTGGTGTAAAAAAATTTTAAGAGTTTATTACAATATTATTTTTTTATAAAAACTATATAGCTCTATCAAGTTATATAAATATTTAGATTTATAAACTCAATGTAGATTTACATAGTTGAAATTTTTATGTATAACTTAATATAATATTTATATAAGTTTTATTTATTATTTATATAAATATAGTCATCATCCTATACAATCACACAGTTGGGCACATAATAAATTTTTTTAAGAATGTGCTTATAAAGGGGTTGTGCTTATATAGAGATATTTTTCTTATAAATTAAATTATAGTTTGGCCTAAATAAAAATGTGATTACATATGATGTAATTATATAGAAGGTGACTATATGGAGGGTTAACTATATAAAAATTATATAAATTTTATTTATATCTGTATAAAAATATAAAAATTATATAAATTCTATTTATATTTGTATAAAAATAAATTAATTTACTTTGTAATCATTAGTTCTATGGTACAGGCATCTGTCGTTTAGAAATAGTTCTCATACGCTATTTGCCGACAGGCTTAGAGTTTATCACTTACCATTTATATTAGTTAGCTAGTATCATTTGTACACATGAATTAATTACTAAAATAAATACCTGGCAAGATATGCCAAAGTTAAAAAAAAAAAAAAAAAAAATTAATTTACTTTGGCTATTTTTCAAAAATGACTAAAGTAATCAATATTCAATATGCTAAATAAACTGTTTAGCAGGCTAGAAAACACTTCCCAAACTCCTAATTTAAGCTTAAAATCTGTTTTAGCTTTAATATTTAAGTTTAAATTTTTTTAAAATTTTATATAATTCTACATAGATATATATAGACAGTGTTGTACATGGGACAATTTTGGACAATTTTGGACATTTTTTTTAAATTAAAATTACTCAAAGTTTTATTAAAATAATCTATTTTAATTTTTTTACCAATGAGTCCAGCACCTAAAAAAATATATAATTTTATATTTTTTTAAATTACTTTATTGATTAGTTAAACATGGGACATAGGCTTGGACGATTTTGGACAATCTTGGACGTTGGACATTTTACATAGTGTGAACATGTCCCATATACAACACTGTATATAGATATATATAAATAGCTATATAAAATCTACATTGGGTTTATTAAGCTATATAAAAATTTTATATAACTTTATATAAAAATTCTATATGACTCTATATAAAAACAACTTTGTAATAGTGATTAGAGTTAAGTAATAGGAGGTTGTGTTTTTTAAAAAATTTGTTATAGCAAGTTTTCTCAGAAGAATTGGGTATATTGTTGTCTGAAGAGGAGTTTTTGTTTTTTACAAAATCACTTACTATTTTAGGCTTTGCTCTCACAGCTGTGCAGATATCCATAGTCTGCTCTGTGCATTGGGTCTAACTGTCATTAACTTGAACCTCTATACAATATATATTTATTAATTTTTAAACTTCT